AAAAAAAAAAAAAAAAAAAAAAAAAAAAAAAAAAAAAAAAAAAAAAAAAAAAAAAAGAGGGAGAAAAAAAAAAATAGAAAGAAAAGAAAAGATCCCAAACTGGAGACGGAAGGAATTGAAGCGGTCGGTGGAGCTCCGTCACGGCGCCTTTACCCGTCCCGGAGCACCCTTCATCCGTCATCACTCGTCACTTGCAAACTTACGCCCCTCTTCAGGCTCTAGACTCTACAGTAGTCGCTGCTGGGGTGGTCGCCGGGGTCTGGCAAACGCCCAACCCGAAGGGCTTACAGCGATTCAGGTGATCTCCATGGAACCATGAATGCTTTAGCTGCGTCTTAATGACTCCCCGTCCATGTCTATGGGTCGCTGGCGTGTTGGACAGGGCCCCACCCTGTCCGCGGACCGTTCTTCGACGGTGTTTCTTTTTCATGACCGCTACTGTAATTCTCTTTTTTACCACCGCATGTATGGAATCTTATTCGTATAAACAATTTTTATTATTATTATTTTTTCCCTGCTTACACTTATGTTTCTCCAGTGCCCAGCTGGTGCTGACGCCGATGATAATGCCCACAACGTCCATTGCCCCATCTCTCCCAATCGCATCGACCAATTTCTGCCCGGTCGTCGCCTACCGATGGAATCTGGCAATTATTTCATCAACGATAATTAATTCCCGTGGTGATTGTTATTTTTTTTCTTGCTTAGACCAATCAAACTCGTCTACACCTGAATAATTAGTGAATTGTCCGTGGTACCTCAACGAAAACGAACTCCCATAGGACAAACCGTCAAATTTCCAGGTTCTAACATACCCAAAGACCCAGTCGACCCAAGGAATTGTCCTGTTACAACATCCCTTGAGATCCATCTGCGAATCTTCCCGCCTTTCCGCTTTCCGCCAGCCGTGGAACTCCCACCCTGCATCTCGTGTATTTTGACGCGCTTGACCCAACCGTTTCCCTCCTTTGATTTGTTCTTTATTTTTTGCCTCCCGGACGGACCGGCGAGTCGGCGACCCAAAGAACCAGTCTTTTAGTATTAATATTTCCTGGCCTCTTGGTCTTCATGTTCTAGTTACGAAGTACGTAGCCAGTCGTCTAGACGAGTGGCAGTATTCGTATTTCATTGTAGAAATAATAACAAGATGACTAGGATAATCAAAAATCAGAAGAGAGTACAATTTAAGAACGAAAAAA